AGTTCGCATATTTGATCAAAATTACCCATCATACTCGTTATCTATTCATTAAATAGGCAGGTTAAAAATAAATAAATGGATAAAAACAGCATTTTTGGGGGAAATATCTAAAGTTATTTTTTATTACCATACTAGTAATTGATTATGTTAGCTTTATGTTAATGTTATTTACATTAACTGGTTTTATTCAAGACAGGACAACTTAGCTTTGCTTTGGTTAACAGAAATTTCAGTGAAAATGGTAAAACTTTATTTTGATATCTCATAACTTTGCAACTCCGTGTCAAATAGCAGTCACTGGAGTATTAGGAGACTGTCTGCTTAATATCTGCTAACACTTTATTTTCATTTTCCCCAACAGACATTCTACTGACTAACTTTGCAAGTGCATGCCCAGTTATTCTACTATCCCTAATCCTAACCTAACTGTCTGCTAATAGTCTAATGAGAGTTAGTTGGCATGTAGTGGCAAAGTTATTATAGTCAACAGAATTGCAGAAGGGGACCATCAAAATAAAGTGTTACTGTGGAAATAAATCTTCTCCATTCGATGAGAATGGAATTTTGTGCTTCTAAGTTTGTGTTTGGAGTCTAACAGTTTGGGGAGGCTCCGGATGACATTAAATGCCCTTGTGCACAAAGCGATGTTCATATAGAAATGATTTGTTGTGTTTGGTGTGGAAGAACTTGACCTGCATTGTGATCCAGGCCCCATCGACTAACAGCAGTGTCTGACCTTACTGTCTGAATAAGAGCAAATCAGCCAAGTTCCAACATATTTATTTTTTCTGAGAGAATGTAGCAAACTCCCTATTAATGGCCATGGATTTTGAAATTAATAGCATATGTGGAAGTGATATTCAGGTGTCCATACTTGTTGCCATATACTGTAGTGTTTCTTCTTAAAGTTTAATTTAATTCATTTATTGACCTTTTAGTTTTTCCACACCATACAGTATGACTTTGTGTGTTTGTTTGTTTGCACTGCAGTATGTAACGCTTCATGATCTCTGTGATATGGATAAGTATGAGAAACTGGCTAAGATCGGCGAGGGCTCATACGGAGTGGTGTTCAAATGCAGACACAGGGACACCGGTCAGATAGTGGCCATTAAAAAGTTTGTTGAGTCTGAAGATGACCCGGTCATCAAGAAGATCGCACTGAGAGAAATCCGCATGCTGAAGGTAAGATATGGAGATGGTATGCTTACTTACTGCAAATCCCCCATGTATTTGCACACGTAGGCATAAACATTTTCATTTGTATCCATGTAGCAGCTGAAGCATGTGAATCTGGTGAACTTGCTCGAGGTCTTCAGGAGAAAGAGACGTCTTCATCTGGTCTTTGAGTTCTGTGAGCAAACTGTTCTAAATGAACTGGACAAA